GATTACTTTACAGCTTAAATCTAACCTACACCAAACATAAGCAAGTATAATACTGTTACATATTTTTTAGAATATTGTATTATAAAAAATATGATATATGATACATTTCAATATCTGGTAGCCACGATCTATAACATTCAACCAATTATCGTCGATCATCGATCGGTTGGGTGCAACCGATGATCAGTGATGAAATTCCAACCAATTCCCGTCACTAAGCACAATACACATGCAATCATGCAACAAGCGTCTGTATCGCTGACACTGCTCATCATAGCTAAATATTTAATGTTGTAGATCAGGGCAAATCAAGAGAAACGTAAATTGGCCTGGTGATCATTCTATGGGGCGGTTTCACTGTGTAACTGCCAAAGACAATGGGGAACATAGCAAATGTGTCCAGTATAGATGTGCGTGCAATCTATGAAGGTGACTATGATAGATTTAACTGTAGTGTGTTTAAGTTAACTAGTAATAGAAAATGATAGAAAGTACAACATTTCATTGGACGACTGAGAGTGCTCTCTGACGTGTTATAGTTCTTGCTACTCAAAAGGTGTAAAGATTTACAAATTGAAGGTTTGTGTGGGTAATTACTAATTGCAATGTGTTTGTATGCTAAAATGATATCATTATATCAGAATATGTGATGTTACACGAGACAAGAATCGCCCTACAAGCCAATTTGCCGTTGGGCCTTTCCTGTCGTAACGATCGGTCATGGGCATGTGCAGTGGTGATAGGTTATACTAGACAGACACTCAGTCCAGCACTCACCCATGCTCTGTCTGACAAATGCTTCCGTGATGCCATCTCCAAGAGTCGTGTGCAGCGCAAAGTCTCCATCGCTCACCACATCGATGATGGTATCCGACCCCGCAGGAGCCTGATGTAGGCTTATAAGTGGCGTCCCCTGTAACATGTCCTCCTGGTCGTCACTCTGCAGGTAAAATATTGACACAGTCTCAATATTAGGCTTGCAGTAGCTTCGTAGAAAAGAAACGGGTGTTTTGTTAAATTGTGAAGTTCCTGACTATCAAATGTGTACTGAACCCGTAATTTGTGCCATCAAATGAAAATAACTTTAAGGGTACTGTTAGGGTTACGGATGGGTAACACTGTAAAGGGCATTGCAACATAACTGCTTATCAAATTCAATCAAACTCATATCCATTACATAAGAGAGATGTCTCTCTATGCTCTCGATGATATATATTTTTTTTAATTCATCGCTAATTAAGTGACAACAAAAATAAAAAAATGTTTTTTTTTTGTAATTTCTCAGAAATAGCAGAGTTGGGACCTAAACTTTTAACCATAAGTTGTTCGTAATATGAACTAAACAAGTGCCGCAGAGCAACAGCGCTCAACTGACGTGTACTGTAGCCGGGTATTCTTCTGATAAACTCACTGGCAACCGAATCAAGTGGGCCCTCCCGCCACCGCGTTCGTGCTCAGAGCATATATCTAGGATACTACTAATACAGATCTAAAATCTATGATAGCTAGGCTTTGCTATACCGGTAGTACAGTAATAAAGATACAGCTGTGTAACTTTAATGACTTCGCTATATTCAGGGATGAGATTGGAGAATTAAATTTTAAGCTGAAATTGAAATTAGCAGACAGAGGAGGGAGCAATGCGAGGACCGTAGGTCAACGCCATGCTAGGGGGGGTCCTTAAATTTTTTTTTTAAATGGTGCAATTTGGTGCATTCTAAGCTATTCTGAACACATTATAGGAGACTCTTGAATCAC